CTGTGTGTGTGTCGGTGTGTCTGTGTCTGTGTCTGTGTGTGTGTGTGTCGGCTCTGCCTTGAGCCTGTTGCTTGCTGGGATAGGCTCGGCTCCCCCGTTATTATAAGAAAATTACAAACCTTATATACGTAAAGAAATTTCAATGAAATGCAATGAATAATTTCCAACTGTTGCATTTTTAGGGTCATTGAATGAAGTACATTTCCTACACATTTGTGTCAGAGGAAGTGGGTTGTGTAAAGTCTTGGCTCTAAGCTTACTCAATGGAGATATTTCTGGCTGTTTCACAAAATGATGTGCAGTATTTTCAGAAAGGGCTTTATAGTATTAGTAAGCCCCATACATTTGTATTAGTAAGTACTAAGTAATTGTTTAATACTAATACTTATTTGATTAATTCTTATTAGCATTATCCAATTGTGACATTACATAATCTCCCTGTTTAAATTAAAAGCTTGTCTACTTTGTCTAGAAGATGCAAGTGATCTGTGAATTTCAACAATAAAACCTTTCCTTTTTCCAGATGCTGCTCTAATTCTGAGTGTCTCCTCCATAACCTTATGTAACAGAGGTCTTAATTAATTAGTTCTTTTTTGCAACCCTTTTATGGGATTTTTGGCAATGGTCTATAAATTACATTCTTCTTTTTTTTAGTAAAACAAGTACAAAACGTAAAATAATAAACAAGTGTCCCCATGAGACAGGGCAGCACAGCCCGTTCACATCCAGAACTGGATACTCGTTTTGTTGTGCAGTGCCAGTTCTCCTCCTCTCCCATCTGTACCATCTCTCTGGAACCATGCTCATCTGTTAAGGTTATGTATTTCACCCTAGTTCTCTGATAGCCATGCTCCTGTGATTCCAACTATATCACAATCAAATGCTAATGCTTCGACACAATATAATGTAGCTTCAATGTATTGTCTATTCTTCCTAACACTCCTGGCATTTACAGTAGGTGGAAGCATCTACCTATTGGATACACCTAAGATAAATGTGCCTTTTAAGTGTTGTTTTTCCCTTGGTTTCTCTTTTTTCTGTATTCCCTGTACAGTACAGTATATCTCTCTTGCAGCTTTGCTTTAGAATCTCCCCCCTTCCATTAAAGTTTAAAATACTTTACAGAGTTGCTCTTTAAATCATTGAGCCCAAGCTGAGCAGTACAGTACCTTCTCCTTTAGATGAACAACACTACAAAAAAGCATGCTGTAAAACGTCATGATCTTTGAAGGCATTTTAAGGCATGCACCCCAGTTACCTGTTTTTAAACAGTTTCGTATGAAATATTTGCCTAACCATCAGAGAATAACCAGCCTGTGTTAATAACAGAAAGAGAAAATGTTCTACTGTAGTTTGTTTAAGAGTTGTACTGTTTGTGCTCCTGTTTTTTGTGTTAAATAACCATCCCATTAGGTCACATTTGTCAACATCTGTTTGTTCTTCTGCATCTTAACATGTTTTTTTGTGTCAAGTCTGAAACTGGAACTGCTTATTTGAAGACAGTCTTTTGATTCCATACTACTAAGCAGCAACAGCAGAAAGTCATCTCTGAAGAGGCCTTCAGTTTAGCATGAAAGATTAGGTCTCTTTCAAGTTAAGTGGAGTAGTGTGGAAAATTAATGGCTGGCGTGGTTGAAAAGTAGACCTGTAACTTATGGTTAAAGCTAAACATAACAGGAACTTTATTTTTGTTAATTGGAGGATATCAGGGATTTAATATCCATCTATACTGACACTGGTGCTTACAAAACATATAGAAGAGTCTTTAATTTGCTCAGCTTTTCATATATCTATATAAACAGAGTTCACAGAGCTTCTCGCTTCTCTGTTAATTGATTTATGAGCTTCAGAGCAGACTCCTGCTTTTTTAACTCATTAGTTACACTCTGTCTTGCCAAAATAGGGATGTCTCTTTCTAAGACGCGTCAAAAATTGCCATATCTCTTTTTTGAAAGATCCTCTGTGGTGCTTTCAACTGAACAATTTTAATGTAAGGACTGCTTTCTGGAAAATGAACAGAATAGCAATTGGATTGATAACTTGAATTCTGATTTAAACAGACGGGTAGAGATATACTGTAGAAGATGTTTGTGAAAATTTATATGGCGTAATTCTTTGTGCACCTTTCGAGTAACAGCAAGTTTTTCTTAGCCAGTGCTACAGGTTTTGTGATCCTGGACACTGTAACACATCTGCAGCTTGTCATAATACGGTTCATAAGTCAGTGGGCTTGATCCTACACAACACACCAAAGTGTTTGCTTTCAGGTGGTAGTTTTCTACAGATGTTACCATTTCAGGAACATCTGGTGGACTGTCTGGTGGGCAAGTTGTTCCATGTGCCTGTTTGGTCTTTTGCAAGGAAACCCCGAGTTAAGATCCGAAAGTAATGTGATTTTCCACTTCCCCACGGTTTCTTGTGAACAGCCCCAAACAGCTAGTGTAGAGCTCGCACAATCCCCTTAGTTATGTTACAGTTCTGTTCACACAGCTACTGTTTGCAAAGACTTTTCTGTATTGGATCTTTGTACTTACTAAAGAGTTTGAGTTCCCCTTTTCATGTGCAGTTTGTGTAAAACACAATAATCATATGCGACATGGATTTTAACATACTGTATGTTGAGTGGATGAATTCTGAATTTTTTTAAAACCACCTTGATTCCTACTTTCTAGGATGGAGCAGTTTTAGTAAAGCTTTAGTAATGGTGTAACTGCATCTCGTAAGCTGCATTCAATCCAACAGGTCTGCAATGCTTTAAAGGTCTATATGAAGTCTTTGCAACATCTCCTTTCCCCTTCTTTTTTCTCTGGATTTTACATGTATTTGTCAGTTTAGCTTTGAATTCGAAATCCTCCAAGGTACTGACAAAGTCAACCCACTGACCGTCCTCAGAATCAACAGTGAAACCCAAACCAGAGCATGCAGGTAGAAATTGCACGGAAAATGCATGTAAACTTGAGAACAGGTAGCACTTCTTTAAGGGTGGCGGGAGTGTGGAACAGGCTAACCAGCCATGTTTTTGAAGCAGATCACCCTGGTTTCTTTCAAGAAACAGCTCCTTGGATCAATAAGCTCTCCTCTTGTTTGGATCCTTTCTTATGTTCAATGTCCTGGAGTAGCAACTAAACTAGAGAAAGAGGGAAAAAATAGTGACTAGAAAACAAATGTGACTATTTCCCAACAAGGCAGCATTCTAATGTGGTATTAAAGGAGGCTTTTTATATTGGCTTCAGATGCCTTTAGCCCCTCATGTGGAATGCATTCTTACTGAAGCTCTCTGCTATGGGACCTGCAGACAAGGAAACAACAACATGACTGCTGTCTGTGTTGTTTTACCCGGTCAATTACAGATTTTAGACAAGGCGAACAAGAAAGTCTCAGACGCTTTGAAAACAGATAAAGACTGCAAAAGAGAAAAAGAGTTCAGAACCCCGCCCCAAAAAAAGCTTTCCGATTGTCTTCCACTTTTTATTTGTTGGCGGAACTTAATCCGGAGGTTGTTGGCTTTAATCTTTGCTTTTAACATCATGGCTTAGCGAAGCCCCTGTTTTTCCAGGACAGATTTCTCTGTTTGGGGTTCTAGATCTGCTCTGGCGTTCTGCGGAAGCAACAGTTAAATATCAGGTTGTTCTGTCTCCAGACCCTGGGTCCTTCTGAAGCCTTGCAGCAGTTTAATCTTCTGCTGTTGGCCACTTTCAAAACTGTTATGCTCCAGGGTGAAAGGGAAGCCTCTAGATCTTTTTACATACCCTGGCAGTGAGGGCAGCAGTCAGACGCGTGAGGGGAGTTAGGGACGGAGGAATGGAGTGGACAGGGTTGAGGGGGCAAAAAGCAAGAACATCTAAGTTTTCCAACTGGAATTTCATCTGGCGCTAGAGCCCTACGTGCAGGAAATGCTTTACGGCCGAGCTATGCTCGCTGAAAACAGGACTTTTTTCTACAGGTCACCCGAAAAGTGATGAAAAGATAATGGAACTGCGATAACACAAACAGGCTTTTTTTGTGTGTGTGTGTGTGTGTGCTGGTGGGGCAGGCGGCACTGACCCCCAATGGGGAATATATTTTCTGTTCTCGTCTCGATGGTATCATGGGTACAACCTTTGAGTTTCAAAAAGAAACTTATCTTTTAAAATACAAAATTGCATCCCATATGTCTAGCCCTTAGGCTCATGATAGTGTCGTCAATGGAATGTTTAAAGCTTATTTAACCCAGACTTAAAAAGCGGAGTTTAATTGTTTTCACCGAGTGCATTTTTATTGTAAATATATATAGTTTTAGACTATCAGCTGGTTATTTCAAAGATCCTTGTAAATGTCACTATAGAACTTTGCGTTACGGAACTCTAGACACTGGTGTGGAGTTGGTGTTAAGTTGCTGGATTTGTAACAGGGAGGTTGTGGGTTAAAACTCTGGGTAGGATTCACCTTTTTATAAATGGGTACAACCTATAAGTTCCCTTTGGACACATGTGATCACCAAATAAGAGTAGTGTAACTGCAGTCCCATTCAGATACAGATTTAATATTTCGACATCAAGAATTGAGTTCATTTTTTCCACTTGCAGTCAAATATGGTAAAAAAATATTCACTTTGACTGCATAGTTGAAGAAGTAAAGGTTTTTAACTTACCTGCTCTGTTTATTAGTCATTACGCTAAGCGGAAAGAGTGTCTTTTTCGGTACAGTTGTACTTCAGAATGTCTTTACTGAATACCGCAGTCATGTAAACCCCCTCGGTCTGTTAGATGATCCTGCGTGTTCTGTGCAATGTCCTGGGAAGGACGGGACTCAGTGAACTCTCCCCTGTGTGCAGACAAGTGAAGGATCAGAACAAGAAAGTGGCCAACCTGAAGCACAACCAGCAGGTGGAGAAGAAGAAGAATGCCCAGCTCCTGGAGGAGGGCCGGAAACGAGAGGACAACCGGACTGACAACTCCCAGCACCTCCAGGTGGGTCCCTCCGTCCCTGTAGAGGCAGCAGAAGCCTCCAACAAAACCGTTACTTTTCATACTGTACTGCACTGTACGGTATGGGTTCGGAAGAGAACCCAGAGCTACTGGAATGTGGATCCCAAATCTTCCAGGTTCTGTTTGTGATTCCCTCCTCCCGCCAAAATAGAGAGAGTGGCTTTAAATTTACAGTCGACCAAATCTATAGTGGAACCAGACCGTATAATACAGAAATCGAAGTTTAACTTGCATACTTTTGTGCTTTCACCTTGGACTTTCACCTTCTCAGATGAGCAATTGCTGAGGAAAATGTGATTTCTTGTTCAGTGCACCTGAAGAGTAACTATGCTAATTTTTCCTCAGGTTTGGATCAAGTGTGTTATTGTCTACCGCTTACTGTATAACAGGCAGGTTTGTGGAGCATTTATACCATAGCCTTTGCAACATTAAATGTCTGTAATACTTGAAAGGGTGAATTATAAAAGATGCGTAGCATTTAGATACATGCAATTATTAAAGAAAAAGAAAAAAAAACCCTACATGAATGAAATGTAGAAAAGAAACCTGTCTGGTTCCTACTGTAAATAACTTTTTTTTTGCCTAGTGCCTGATGCACTTCCATTTAATGTATCTTGACCAGCCCCAGAATTGGGTTTAGTATGTTGTTCATTACGTTTTGTAGTAAATAATGCTCTGTAGGATTGCATTTTTTTTCCTTCTCTATTTGCACCCACTGATCTGTGCAGGAGAACCAGCTGTAGTTTTTTTATATGAGTGCTGCAATTTCCACGTGAGGTGAAGACTAAAAGGAGCACATATCCCCCTTTGTTGCTGACCTGTTGCTCTCGCCCTCTGAATGATAAGCGAAGATCCTCGGAATTCCTTCTGCGGGTGTATAATTGCATTATTCAACACCTCTTCATCCCAGGAAAGCAGATCAGATTAAGCTTTTTTGTTTCAAAGGCTTTTCATGTCCTGGCCCAGGAAGGCAGCTTGTTGCAGGAATGTGAGGTTTGTGGAAAAGATGCTCTGTCTTGTACTGATAAACGCATGTAATAATGCATTTTTACACTGTCATTCTGCAAGCAGAGTTAATGTCAGTCATCCTACACTACTGCAGGAAACATTTGTGTGTGTGCGTATGTGCTCTTTGTGACTGATTGTGGACAAGGTCGGACCATAGTATGACTATTTTTTTTATGGTTGTGGTCTAGTGACCATTCATATTACACTTATTTCTCATCAGTTTTGGACTGTTCTAGGACATGGCAGAGATTTTTTTGGCTTGTTTTTTTTAAGAATCTTGCTACAGTATGTTGTAGGATGTAAATATTCATTTATGATTTATATATAGAATTATATAGAATAGAATATATATATAGTAGCTCAATTACAAAGGCTTAAGTATTCAAAACTGCTTCCGCCTGTGTGAAAATTATGTTTGAAAGCAGATCTCACTGCCCTTGTTTTAGAATTTCTCTTCATAACCTTTTTTGTGCTTTTTTTTCCCCCCTAAGACTGCCTAGCCGATTTCTTTACAGCCCCAATAACTTCCATTTCGAAATGTTCTGCTGAATCTGTAACTGAAAAAGACAGCACGTTTTTTAACAAAATGAACACCATACGTGGCAGATGAACAGAAAGGATAATGGCTCCTTTGGGAATAGAAGAAAGTAATTTTCTCCAAAAGCAAGGGCCTATAACTCACAGAGGGGAACATCTCCACGATTCCTTAGATATCTTAGCCTTTTATCACTCTGCTGTGATTGAAAAAGAACTATTTTTTTGTGTTTTGTGTTTCTTTAACCGTTAAACCATCGCCTGGTGTCATTGTCTCTTCATTGGTATGCGTTGCTTCATGCTGTTGTTTTTATTGTATTCATACTGTTTCATACTGTATTTATCAGTTAGTGTTTTTGGTGAATGTTTAAGCGTTACGTGGGTAACTTCTGTTCGCTTGTTAAAAGGAGTGCTCTTATACCTGGAAGACGGGATAAAAGTCTCGGAGTGTTCTTTTTCGCACTTCTTCATTTTCAAAGTCATGGACCACACTGAGAGTGGTTTCAGCGCTGGCACCTTTCCTGAATTTCACACTTAATTTTCATTGCCTGAATCAGCCAAAGCTTCCAGGTCTCCACAAATGCTTTTTGGGAAGGCAGGCAATCTAAATAGACATTTTTCTGTAGCTCTTGGCTTCTTTTTCCCATATGAAGTCTGTTAAGTTAACAAACTAACATAAAAAGAAATTGTAAAGCCAGCATTTTATGCCAGCTTTCTGTTATGCGACCACAAAATCGTCTTCAGTTTACAGTCTGCATGAGGGAAGCATGTTCTTTTACGCTTCTCTTTCAGAGTTATAGTGTCCTGTGGGATTTGCCAAGGTCTCTGCCTAGTTCTGAACCTTGAAGCCACACTCAAGAAAGACAGTTACACTAAAATCCAATCAAACCAAGGTTGAAAATGCAAATAGATTGCGAGTTGTGTTTGGGCATCTTGATACACGTAACGTCTGGAAACTTCATATGAAAATGTACTATTGATGACCTTGGCACCACTTGTAAGAAAAAATGAAAAAAACAGTTTGCATATGAAAATATTCTGACTTGGTCAGTATGAACTTGCCATAGGGATCTGAGTACTACCAGACCCAAAATGCAGATTGGACCAAGATTTTAAAAATAGTTAACAGATACACTGTCAGGGTTAACAGGCATAGTTAGGGCATGTACCGAAACAGGGGGTTCTGCACTGACTTTTTATATCTTTCAGTTTGTTCCATGCAAACATTTGTCTGTCATTGTACAGTATGTGTGCCTATCAATGTCTCTCTCTCTCATCAGTCATGAAAAGGGTTTGTTAACGGTAATTCCCAATAAGCTCGTTTTTCACTTCACCCTGCCATCATGCACATCAACAATGGCAATCTAAACCAATTACCCAAAACCAGAGTTTCCAAATGAGAAAAGCAGAAACCCTTTTCACATTGAAATCATCCTTTAGCTTTCATCTGAGTCTGTTAGATAGAATGGTGCTATAGAGGCATAGCCAGATTTGTAGGCATTTTCTTTACTTGGTCAGTGGGGGTTCTATTAAGTTTTGGATAAAATCCATATGTGCTGCTGAAGTACATATTGAACTACAGCCAATGTTTTAAGAGCAGTTTGGGGAGGAGTTTTTTTTTTTGCAAATAAAGTGCAGCTGAACAGAATATTCTGACATGATCTGAGTGGCATTTTTGTGCAAGTAGTCAAAGCTTTAGAGGTTTTGCTCTTAAACATGAGCCTTTTTTCTCTCCGCTGTATGGTCACGTGATGGGCACTCTATAAACATGTGCGAAGAGCGAAATGAAAATGAAAGCTTTCTAAACATTTTTTTACAGAGTGGAGAAATAGCCCGAAGCAAGAAAATGTATGTTTATATTTTAATGATTTTTAGTGAGATGGTGGTGGGGGGATGTGGTTGGGGCATGATTGAGATTCTGTTACATTTGAAGTAGATAATTTGATTTTTGGCTAAATGGAAGAAAAATCACTGTGGTCTAACAGCATAAAGTGATCGGAAACCAACTTAAGGAATGTGTCCTTTTGGCCAGACTAAAGAGTTTTACAGAGAATCGCCACTTCTAGTCTCCAGCCTCCCCAGTAGAAATGGTTAAAAGTTGTTAACTGGCAGAGAAGCACTATTAAAAATAAGATCTGAGAAAAGGTATGCAATAAATGTTGTCTCTGTGTTCCATCAATGGATGAATACAGTAATTCCCCTGATCTTTTTTTCTCTACAGAAGTGAGCTGCCATGTTTTTTCTCCAAGTCTCAGTTCATTTCTTCTGGTTAACGTCACAATATACAGTACGTGGTCCTGTTTTCCCCTTCATAGACAATGATGGATAATTTCGTTTTTCAGTGGAAGAAATAAGCAGTTAAACCTTTTTAACACACTGCCTAACATCCAAGCACCTACCCCCAGATTCACAGAGTAGACTACAGAGCAGACCTTTTTGTATTTTTCCTTTTTTTTTTTAATTGATAATTTACTAATTGAGTGAGTCAGTATTTTGACCCTCCAGGGCTAATGGAGACATTCATCAGTGATGACCGAGGAATAAGTAAATCAAGAAGAACTCTTTGAATGTACCGATAAGACGTGAAATATCACAGGTGTTAATCCGTTCATTTTAGGTTTGAGTGACTCAAGAATTGATATAGAGGCATGTTTAAGCATCTGGGCTTGTTTAAATTTAAATTTTCCTGAACTATCTTAATATTTCATCTTATATTAAAGTGCTGATTGTGACAAGACCCAGAGTTCAGAAATATTAATTTCTCCCTATGCAGTGTATGGCACTGATTTTCACTAGGCAGAAATAACTGCCTAAGCCATTGCCCACGTTGGATCCAGTAAAGTCTCTGAATTACAGAGATACATTAATATGGTGAGACTTCTGGGCATGCCAGGATGTTCCCAATTGCTTGGTAAAAAAAAAAATACAAATAACATCTCAAACCTAAAAGTGTCTGTTCAGCAGAGTAGTGTACAACCAATTCCAATTTTGTGCTTAAGGATTACAAAATTCTGCATCGGAGTTAAAATGAGCTTTTCTTGGAAATAGTATCTCCGTATTTGTTAATAAACTTTAATTATGTTCTCTTGTGCACATTAGGAAAAGGACGGCGAATGTCTTGTCAGGCTTCCAGGCCAGTGCTATTAAATTATGTCTAGAGACCTGAAACTGACTTGAAAGGAAAGGAGAAACGTAAACTCAGTAGCATTTCCAAACAAGAAGAGTGACGATCTTACCCACTATATTCGAGAGTCTGGGCCTGTATAGGAATGTGCACCCTCTGCGTGGCTGTATGCACCAGGGAGCAATCACTTTCTGCCTACATCAATGGTAATCCGATCCAGTTTATCTGAATTTCACGACACAGAAATAATTACGAGTGGTTTACACTTGGCTACAGTTGCTAAAGGTTAGGCAGAAGGGTATCTGCAAATCAAGTCACATGTCAGCTCCACATCAATACCTTCTTTATGGAAAATATGCATTTCATCACAAAGCAGTGCAATATGGCAGCCCATGTGGAATTTCCTTGCCCAGCCATTAACTCTCTGTGGCTTAACAGTAAGATGACTACCTTAACGAGCTCACAATTATTCAAAGCTGGTTTTGTGCACTGCTTGTAAAAGATTATTGGCCATTTCTCGGAAAAGCCACATTTTTGTTTGAGGATATTTGTTTTTGGGACAGGCTGCTATTCCAGCAAAAAAAAATTCAAAAGGTTTCCATAAGTTCTTTCAATGAATACACTTGTTTCACACGGTAAACACTCCACCTGTCTGTATCTTTCTACTTGACAATTATTTTCCTAATACTGTCAGATTCATTTTACTCTGACTTGGCTGTGACCATGGTTGATGAGCATGATTAATCCCAGCTGCCCTGTGTGCATGTTGTCGTCTTGCAGGCAATTTAAAGGACAGCACATCTCATGTAGACGTTTAATGTCCAAACATTAAGGCAAAGGAAAAAAACATATCATAAGACCTGCTGCTTGTTTTACAAATCGGCAGTGAAAGGAAAGTAAAATCGAATTCGGGCACACCTCCTGAAGAAGCTTATTCCTCAATACATGGCTGGAAAAGCCTGTTCTGGTCACCCACAAGTGTGTAAGTACAACAAGAAGCCTATAAAACAAAAAAAATGATCAGATACTTAGACTAGATAGTCAGTGATACCACATCTTTTCTCAGTCATGAAAAAAAAATAGTTATTTATGTTATAATATTTAAAAACTTCTTTACAATTTTTTAGAAATACTGTATCAGCGTAGCTACAATTATAGCTTTTAGTGATTTAAGAACACTTAATATACTATTTACATAGAATGTATTATGCTGTTCATAAATAAAATCTGTACTACACAGTGTGTTTTGGATAGCACACTTTAGCTACATTTAAATGTGTATTCAATGCTAGGTCAGTCATGCTAAATATCCTAATATTGCATTAATGTATGTGTTTTCATTATTAAATCATGGAATGCTTGTCTAAATGCATGATTACACATGCCATATAATAAGAATGAAACCTTGTCTTATACATTGGTCATTGTAGTTGACTTTATGTTTAGGGTTATTGAAAATTAAGTCTACATTATATTCATGCTCAATAGATCCTTAGGCACATTCCAACATAACAGAATCCTTAAAAACCTGCAGTTTGCCAAAAAATACTGAAGAAGAAGTAGTTGAATCTTTCTATTAGTATTTTAACAATGTAGTTTTACTTTTACGTGGATCTAAGAGGGTACTCTTCTGTTTCCTAAAGATTTGAACAACCTGGAACAAAAAGCAGTGAAAAAATGTTTTAAGTCTATACAGTAGCTGCCTCCTTCTGAAAGTTAAATACACAGAGTAGCCTATGTGGGCAGAGAGATAACATCAGATGGAGTTCCTTAAGTGTAACTATAATATAATAAGACAATAAATAAGCATAGGAAGTATTTTTTTACACTTACAGATTATCTTATCTCTATTTAAAACAGACCTTTCTTTTCATATTCAACTGTAATAAGGTGAATGATCATTTGCATTTATATAGTATAGTCTGTACTTCATATTTCTAAATCTCCTGTATGACTACATCTCCTTTATTTCTTATATATATCGAAAATCAAAATCCTTCGAGAATCTTTTAAGATAACAATAGATACTGAGCTGAGAACAGGTTTTAATACTTAATGGAATGAAAAATCATTCCACCCACATTGAAAGCTGGAACCGGTTAAAAAAAAACATCATTTCCATGAGTTGGACTGACATTTTCTTGTGGAAATAATACCTGCAGAGTTTGAAATACAGCAGCAGGGGCAAAGCCTGGCTTGTGGACACAGCAGATGCATAGTAGATTATCACGTTTTCAAGAGCAAAAACATTTTATGTACTGTATACTGCTTACAAAATCTGAGTGGCTTCTCTCACATTCTGTAATTCAAACTGAGAATGAGCTATGAATTACCGCATGGAAAACAGATATTTTCCTGAAAGGGATCTCCTTATACTGTATTGTTTCAGAATTAGTGCCTTTTTAAAGAATTTACTCAAGGATAGAATTTCAGGATGTTGGATCAAAAAAGGTCTTTGGATTCCAATTGCACTAACAATTGATTGTCATTCTGAAACCTATGCATTTTTTATGTACAGTAGTAGGTTCTATTCATATAAAGTAAAGATATATACTGTACTGTATATATATGCTAGATATACATGTAATAGCAAGAATCTAACAAATATTATTGCTTTTGTAAATTTCTTTAAAAGAATATGAAAATATTTTTTCTACTTGAATACTGCTGAATATTGAATAATATAATACAACCACAATATCAAAGTGTTATGTTTGATAATACATGTCTCAGCTAGAGATATTTTATGGGTATCACAGAATTGTTTGTATTTATTGAATAAAATTGACTGGCACATGAATACGTAACTTTACACTGCATATACATTTATAAAAATTTTGGTTGCAAGGCAAAATGTTATTTTTTTATCTGTTCTTGCACATTCTCTCTCGAAAAATGCCATTGGAATTTTGGAAATCGTTGGATATTCTTACCGTTCACAGAATGTTTTGAACAATATTTTTGTTTCTAATTTCTCCTTGATTTATTTGAGTGGTTTGATTCCTTTGGAGTGAAAAACAATTAAATAATTATAATATTCAGGAGAGAATGATGAATGTTGCTGAAGCAATTATCTCTCTTTCAATTATGGGTATATAATATTAAGAAAATACTTGCATGGTCAAATTTCACATAAGGGTACAACTTTGCCCTCTCCATGCCCAGACAGTTTGAGGTGTACTGTGTTGATCTTTGAGCATTAAATTACTGGTGTGCTGTCAAATCCAATTATGTTTGCTGGATATGAAGCACACAGCTTCCCTATGTCATTAACCTCCACTAAAACCAGCTTATATATCTGATTTGTTTTTGTTTTCATTGTGCTTTTTTGCGTTGTGAAAGAACCATTCTGAGGAGTAAGAAAACCACAGATTCTTCCAACAGTTCTGCTCTGATTAGTGTTATCCTTGAGTGTACAGTGACCAAATAAAAAACTTAAACTGTTCCATCATGCTCATATGAATTGGCCTTATTGGTGGATTCCAATGACAAGTTTACATTTTACTCCTCTTTCAGGATTTCTGCAGATTCCACGGTAAAAGCAGGAACCTCAAAAGCACTGGGGCAGAAGAATTTGTACAAAATTATGCCAGATTACATTCTAGCACCTGCTTCCAGAGCTCTGCTCGGTGCTGTCAGTTCAATGATAGGCGTGTGTGCCGTACCAAAAACAGAAAACCCGAGCAGTGTTGGCACTGATTGTGCGCTACTGTTCCTGTCAGACGTGCGTGGGACTCATCTGGATAAACACAATGTTCCAAAAACAGATGGTGCTAAGCTAACCCTTAGCTTCTGTTTTAAATCAGATAAAAAAAAGGTTAGGAAGTGTGACATTTTGGTGGAAAAAGGGCACAAATGCATTACATATTTCCAGTCTAGGAGAGACAAGAACATTTCTGTTTAATTTTAATCCACAGCTTTTTGTGCTTTGCTCTCTTGAAAAGCATTTGTCACTAATTGGGAAAGAGGAAACCACCTACTGTATCTCCCTTTGTTTTTTCCTCATTTTTCCGGTTCCTCCACAACGTTGTATTTTCCTCATATTTTTCCTTTCCCTCCACAGTGTCTCTCTTTCCAGTACTCTTTAACCAGTTTTGATGCCTTTCCCTGCTTTAAGCTTCAGCTTCAATTCAGGTGACATTAAATTTCTGGTAATCTGTCTCTTGGTTCAAATCACTGCAAAGTGAATGCCACACACTCCGCTTTGTTGTCGTTACCATATATTGTCTGTGCAAAAGCCAAAGCTCTCCAGATTGTCTGTTGGGGTTTAACTGAAATCTAATGTCTCTGATTTTAGGTGACTTCTGGTCTGATCATTGATTTTTTTTTTTTGTTCTTCTTTAAAAATATAAAAAATAATCAGTTCTTTTTGCCTAATGAGTTTTTTATTGTGGAATTATACAAGCCTTCCTGTGTTGCAACAGGATTTAACGTGTGATGACAGTGGGGTAACCATCAGTAACTGGAATTATGAACTGATGTAGATGATTTAGAGAAACAACACTCACATGGTTCCCCTGGCCTGGTGTGCACACTTCTCCACAAATGTGTGGGTTACCTTGAGACAAACCGGGCTAAGACTGGCAGCTTCTGCAACTGCTTCACAGAGGCCTGTCCTAATATCACAGGTCCACAACGCAAAAGAAGGAGCAGAATTTTGTGCCCGGTGCAGACGGAGGATTCTATGTTCGTGCTTGGTTTGTTTACAGAAACCTGTTGTCTGCAGTGCAGTGCAGTTAATCTTTCTCTCCCTAGGTGTTAACATTGGATCCACCCAGAATGGTCATCCATAAATATTGTGTTTCAGCAGCTGTTTTTAAACTTCACAGTGTTTCAGGCTGGGGAAGACTCTGATTTTACTACTGTAATTACTGTCTGACATTGCTACACCGTTAACTATGCTTTGTCATTTAGGAAAGTCAAAAATGTATTTTAGCATTCCTAAAACCATTAATGGCACGGATATTACAAGGGGTTGCCGTGTTGTTATGTGGAAAACAATGCCTATTCCAGTTTTAAACCTGAAGCGTAACACTCTTTCGCAGGGTCCTTCAAGGATATGATCCAGCCTGTTTTCCTTCACTCATAGAAATGATACAAACAGGTCGTTTGAAAGTGTCCTACATGTCCTAGTTGTCTTGAATGTCCTTCCTCAAAGTAACGCCTCCAAGTTGTGCTGCCTGTCCTTCACCTCCTCGTCCCCTGCCCCTCCCTCTCCCAGGAGTTGGCGTGTGAGCGAGCGGACCGCATCGAGGAGCTGGAGAAGGCTCTGCGCGAGAGCGTGCACATCACTGCCGAGAGGGAGATGGTTTTGGCCAAGGAAGAGGCTGCTCGATCCGCTGCTGAGAAACAGGTCTGCATGAGAGAACTTCACCTTTTGGCTTTTGAGGCCTTTTGGCTCACTGTGACAGACATTCACTGGCCATTTATGATGCAGCTGAAACCCCTCACCCCTCACTTTTCCACACATAGTCCCCCCACCCTAATCTGCATCCTGCCCTTTATACAGTATCTGAGATTCTGGGTTGTGGGCCTCGTTAGTAACCATTTACGGTATATTGCCCTATTTAGCTGTGTTTTGAGCAAACAGATTGAACACAAGAACATAAGATTCTTGTGTTCTTCTATTCACACAGACTGGTATTCAGTAATTCCTGAAGAAGCTGCCAATTTAAGTTGGTAAGCACCTCCGTGCACATTTGCAAATACATCTCAATGGTTAGGTTTGGCTTACAAAGTGCCTTTGATTTTCCGACAGTTTTACAAGGCTGTGCTTCGTAATCATATTCATAAGATCGTTGTTTTTTTTTCTTCGCTTTTTTGTGATGCAGGGAAGGTGCTACTTTTAAATTCCAAATTGCATTTTGCAGGCAGGTTGTGCTCGTCTGACAGAATGGTGATTACAGACCATTCAGATAGACGTGAGCCTAGTAGTCCACTCACACAGTCTCTTTTGCTGAAAGATGATAACCCCTAAATCACATGTAAATGAGCCTGTAAGCTGTGTTCACTTGGTCCTCGCAGTCTTCCTATGCCATTTTGTTTTTGTTGAAAGGTGTTCCCCAGTTCTTGCACGTGACTGCTTATTTTGCTGGCTTGGCATGATGTCTGTGTAGAATCAGATCCTTCTCTCTGTTGGGTTTTGGCCCGCATTCTTTTCTGTCGTTTTGTGCCTCCTGTGTGCTTTTGCCCATTGCGTTGACTCAATTCCGTTTGTTTCTTTCTGCTCTCATCCCCTATACTTTTCCTTGTCACCCCCCGTCTGGCTCTCTTTTTTAATTTCCCAAGTTCGCGTGTATGGAATCAGAGTGCCTTGCCTGCAGGTGCTTCCACGAAAACCTTTCCTTTCCTATCGCCGTCCTTCTCATCCATCATAAAGCCAGTGAGTGATCTTTGACAGGTGTCTCATATTGAAAGTTCTTTCATGTCCTGTGCTTTCTCAAATCTATGAATCTCTCAGCTAGGCTTCACTCACCCAGGGAGGTGGGGCCAGGCAAATAAAGAATGAACCTAATTATTAAGACAAGTGCTCCAAGGTCTTAGCCATCTATCAGTGAGTTTGCAACACAGATTCTTTCATATCTCTTAATTCCTCGAACATTCTCAAACTCGCAATGCTTATCACATTGATTGTAAGGCATATTACAAGACAAAACTATGACCTTTACTTATAATGCTTTTGTTATAGCTCCTCTGTATATACAGTATGTACTGTACATTATACTGAACAAAGACAGCTCCCCCATGTGGCCATTGTCTGCAATGGCATCAGCTCTCAAGTACTGTAGATGGTCCATAGCAAATCTAGACTTTTTGATCCTTTGTCATTCATTAGCTCTTTTCAGAACTCATACTGCCTTTAGGGGACAGGAAGGAAATGTGAGATTTGACCTATAATAATATCACACAGATTTTAAATATACTAAAGAAAGGAGTATCCAGAGTGACTGATTGCATTTTAAGTTAGAGTAGATGTGCACTATACAATAAGTACAGCAATATTATTAGAGATTTGAGACCATAAAGTTGTGCTTTAGGGAAGCCACTGTCTCCTTGATTAATTAGATTACAAATCATCCATCTGGACGAAGCCAGTCTCTTGTTTTTCTTATATTGTATTAAAATCAGGTGAGGACAGTGGCTGCTGAAGCATGGCAAGAGAACAGGACTTCACTACCAGGCTGTTTGTGCCAATTTGAAAGGCAGCATAATCGCTTGCCCAGAGGAAAAAGAATTTTCTTACGAAAAACCTCACTTAAAGTACATCGCAGGCAGTGATGAACAGAACATGTTTTTCAGGGTTGTTTATGTTCACTAAAACCATGAATTACTACTAAAAATAACTTATGATGTAAGGCACAGATTCCTATATTCATTTTTCCTGACATGTAGTGTTACTGAATTTTATTACCGAAATGTTTGACAGGGATTTTCTGTTGTACAGTATATTGTTGAAACGTTTATATCTAAATTGACAGTTTAGTGATAGCCAAGTCAGACTAACTGATACATGTGCTTCAGACCAAATCAGTGTAACTATGAGGAATTCCTCATCTATCTTTCCTGAAGAAGCATGACTTCAGTCTCCACCATTACCGTCTCTGTCTCTACCATTAACACACAACCTTTTCTCTTCTCTTTTTGAACTTTTCTCTGCTACTAAACCATTTCTTTACTGTTTTTAGGCTCCTGCTTCTGATAGATTGTGACACCATGACTTTCACAAGCCACATCCACCAGATTTTTTTAGGGGGGACAGTATAGACATTTCAGTGTTTGTTCAATGTAGTTACTGACCACAGTATGACTACGGATAAGTGCTGCTGTTTTAATTTAATTAGCTGCTGGTCAGGGACTGGATTTTCCAGCTGTGGCTGGGCATCATGGGAAAGTCTTGCTGTACCTGACTGTCTCTCTAACTTTCTTTTTGCTTCTTTTTGTTCAGTTTCTCTTACACTATCCGTCTAGTGGAAGAAACTCAGAATATAAACCACTGTGCCATAATCTCTCTGAAGTGCCTAATATCCATTCATTCTAACTCTTATTTTCTCTTTCTTTCATGTTTGCAGCTTCCTGTCTGTGTGTGTGTTGTGCATGCATTTTCCTTTTTGCTCTTTAGATTCCTTGTGTTGTAGGCTTGTCAAATGGTTTCAGCATTCTTTTTTTTCATTTTTTTTCTATAAATGCTGTACTAACATGAGTGAAGAAGATGCTAACCAATGATTTAGGATATCTATGAGAATCTGTCAACCTGATATGCCAGTAGGTTGTGTCGGGTCTAGTTTCTACACTTTTTTTTTAAAAGGTTTAATTTGAACGCTTTAAACACTAGGAGGCTATTTTATCATATCTTATAATAAGTTTGCTTTTGCTTCAGAGTGAAAGCTTTATTTTTTTATCGTATGTATCTGCGTTGACCAATGAATTCGCTAACCAGTTAATGCCTGAAGAGCGCGGCCTTTCCTACCAAGTGTGAAGTAACAGCAGGTGTTGAAGTGTCCGGAGGGTGTTGTGACTCCGAGTGGTTCTACTTCCTTTTCTTTGGCAGATCATTTGAATTTTTCAAATTTGTCTCCTCTGTTGGAATGCATAACGCACTTGAGCAGTAATTTTAGTGACAGCTCACTGTGGAGAAGGCATTATGAGGCAATGTCCTCAGCTGCCACGTCCTACCTTATGCTGGAGCCTATTCTTCTCCCATTATAAACCCGGAGAGGAACTGGTAAATTACACAGTAAATTCCAGGGAACGGGCTTGGGTTTGGGTTTTGCCAGGATGCCTTTTGTACTGTACTTTAAACTTCTTTAAGTCCCATATGAGGGGAGAGTAACTTGTAACTTCCGGCACTAAAACCAGTGACTGTCCAACCACGAACTCTGTCTCCCCCACTGATGGGCAAAGCGATGCCACTGTGAAGGCCGTGCCCATACACATCCTGTAGTAGCTTTGGAAGGACTGACATGTTATTCTGGCATTTTGCTTTTCCATGCATTTCACCAACAGTGTTTTCAAGTAAACCCTCACAATCCTTTTTATTAGAATTGAATGAGAGAGAGAGTAAATGTGGGTTATATGGGGAAAAAAAATGAAAGACTTTAATGCCAAAAATAAGAACGTAATCTCTATTAAAGGGACCACCTACTGTGCTTTACAAAGATGGATAGATTTATAGAGAAGTATAAGCAGACTGCTGAAGTGATCTAGAAGAGTAACCACTGTGCACACCACATTTCTAAGGCTAAATGTACTGTGGAGTACAGCAATGCTTCACACACACTCCACAAACAGTGAAATTTGTTTCCAAATCTACTTACTACTTACGATTTCTTAAATGCTTGAAAACTGGCTTGATTTATCTTGCGTTTTGCAACTTTCTGAATCACTTAAATGCAAATTCTTTTAAAGGAGGTTGTAACACATTTTTTGGTCAAATATGCTGTAGCACGCTAGACATATTTTGTGTGCCAAAATGAAAATGCCTCATGGCGTTAAATTGTGTCTTTGTGCTGCTTGTACTTTGAAAAGCCTGTGTTCTTCTGTTTAATATCATGCATTTTAATTTCTTGACAAGAAAGTTTTTCTTTTGTTACAGAAATGAGATTATCGGGGCACCTTAAGCTATGTCTATAGCCCTAAATCCTCAAATATAATATACCTACTCAAAGATTAATGTTACATATGTTGTAGAGCATAACGGCATATCCCGTATTGCTGCATCAGGGTGACAGAATGTGTCAAACTTAGATGAAAAATGCTAAGGAACCCCAATTCTATCAACATGATAGCTTATGTTCTCCTATTCAGTCTTCATAACTACCTGCATCCCATAACACAGCAGAAGGCAGGTGCTGGTGTGATGATAGAAATACACCCTTTTGCCCTGAGCAGGGCTTCAGTGCTACAGCTGTTTCATGCACTCTGGCAACACACCTCAATCATAATCGCACAGTACTTCCTATGCCAGTATGTCTTTACCTGCGCCAAGATCCAGGTGTCTTTCATGTTACAAAAAAACATGGCAGCTCAGAAAAGGCAGAAAGAAAAATTATGGCTTTAGACCTTGCAGCTGCACTATTCACCATTTAAAAAGGCAACAACAACAAAAAAAGAGTAACAGTACAGTTTCGGCTTACCAGCCAAACATAACTTTAAATTGTTTTCATAATCCGTCTGACAGGTCATGAAGCCAGGAAAGTAACCCAGAGCTTGTGTTTAAAACGTTTGTCTTACGTATTTGCCTTAGATATTATAAACCTACACATTATTTTATTTGTTGTTCAAAATGTTGAAACTAAGGTTGAAGACCTTATAATAGTAGTTGGAATTGAAGTTAATGTATTTAAAGGACACAGA